GGAAGGCAGACGCAGGGGGAATGTTAGGTAGCTGGATGCTACAGAATCACAAACGAGGTCCCCCAGGTTAGCTGGGCAGCGCTGCGGCCCGGAGAGGCTCTCCTGAGAACCTTCCAGGCTCCGCAAATGTTACTACTAGGAGAGTTGCAAATGAACTCCTAGAACATGGTGTGTTTACAGTCCTCAGGGGAAGGGGGAGCAGTCCACATAAATACAGAGCGTTCCCCGGAAAATCAAAAAAGTCCAATAAAAATCATGAGATGATTGATTAGGCAAAATGAATTCATATGCACAACGAGGAAACTAATTATGACTTCTAAATGAACACGGCTGTTTCTATTAAAGATTTGACAGTGTGGCAATAACATCCTTCAGTTGATGACTGACTTCATAGAAAAAAAATGGGCAAATCAGCAGTAGGAAAGACACCATTTGGGTCCTTGCTAAAGTTCCATATTCTTATCTTAAAAGATACTAGAAATTCTTAAAAACTGTGTGTGGTCATAGGAGACTAAAAGTCTTAGACCATTCCTACAAGGTGTTGTTCTGTTTGTAGACTGAATTTTGACCTGCTTAAAAAGAAACTTTCTTTGTGTTCTTTCCCTGGGTCCTCTGCATCCACAATTTAGGACATGGGTGGAGGTTGGATGAAGTGAAGGCAGGTACCACCCAACAGCCTGAATACAGCACAGCTTGGAAAGTGAAGGCACCTGGTGGGACCTGCTGCAGCGTGCCCACACCACTCCTGTTGTGAGCCAATGCCCCACCATCCCATAACCCCATAGCCAAAGTGAAAATGTTTCGAAAACCAGACTCACTCCATTTCTCCCACCCCGCAACAAATTTGGGTCCTCAGAAAACAAACTGGCTGCAAGTGTCAACTCTTCAGAGATGGGTGCTAGTTCCACTAGGAAGAAGGGACCCTGTTTGTCTTTAGAAAGTGACATGCCACTTTCTGAAAATCTTGCTGCTGGTTCATATAAGGCTCTTTAAAACCACAGCTGTGCTTCCGTGGAATTGTCTCATTATCGCATACATTCCCGATGACCCCGGCCCGCGGTAGCCCCGAGTTCCAGCAGAGTTTCCACAGGCTTTGGGGGTCCACCCTGAGGGGTCCTCACTGGCCGCCCGTGGGACCCAGGGAAGGGCTGTGCACTCCCAGGTCTATTCCCTCCTCAACATTTTCCCGTGTCCCTAGGCACAGTTCTAGGTCCTGGGATTTTTTCAAGCGTCCAAAAAAAGCCCTGCTCTGTGCCCTCGGCTGCGGGGAGGCCTTGAGGCCTGGAGATAAACAAGTTCGCGGATGCCCAGGTCCCCGTGAGCGCCACCAAGGAGACTAGGCGGGACAGGTGGGCGCCGAGGAGGGGGCTGCCAGGCGGACGCCAGCGGGTACTCTTGGCCTCTCTGAGGAGCGGCAGGCGGGCTGCCCCTGAGGGGGCTAGGCTGTCCCTCGCGGGCAAGGGGAGAGTGACTCCGGGTGGAATCCCAGCGCGCGGCGGCTCCGCAGGAGGCGGGGGACGGGGAAGGAGAAGGTGTCACCGCGGCCGCGCTGCCAGGGCTGGCCAACTTTGCCCGCTGCTGTCACAGCTCCGGGGGCGTCCGGGGCAGCAGGACAGCGCGGTCCGCCGGGGACCCTCCGCCCGCTCGCCCGCCCGGTCCCTGGGCGCTGGCCCGGGGCGCGGAGGGGGTGCGGCCGAAACTTGTGGACTGCGCTGAGGCGCGGCGGCCGGGCCACCTCCGGCCGAGACAAAGCGGCGGCGCCCGCGCCCCTCACCTGTCCAGCCAGAAGGTCCAGGGCGAGTGCAGCGGGACCCCGCCCGGCTCGGGCCGCAGCGCCGACGGCGGGGGCAGCCCCGGAGGCTCGGCGGCCGAGGCCGGCGGCTCCGGCGACTCCCGGGCCCCGGCGGGGGGCGCGGCGGCCGGGGGCAGCGCCATCTTCTCGGCCCCGCCTGCCAGGCCGCGGGCGCGCGGACCCGGGAGCGCCGCTGAGTCACCCGGACGCCCGCCCCGCCCCGAGCCCTGCCCCGCCCCCTGCCCCGCCCCGAGCCCCGCCCCGAGCCCCGCCCAGAGCCCCGCCCAGAGCCCCGCCCCGGCCGCCCCGCCCCGCCTGCCACCCGCGGGCCAGGGCATCGCTATCAGGGCCAGGGCAGGGCCCCGCCACCACCCGCTGCAGCCCAGTCCCGCCTTGGCAGCCGGACCAGGCTGCACCCCAGCCGCCAGCCAGGCGCCCTCCAAAGGCAGGCCCATGCTGGGTGCCGGCAGTTCTGCTGAGGTGCCCCGCAAGCCAAGCGACCCGTAGCAGTGAGGGACACAGGAAAGGCCAGGGGACGGCTCTGCAGCCGGCAGGAGGACAGCAGGATGGAAAGGCAGGCTACAACAGATGGAGGCCAGGATGGACCCTTGGATGGAGGCTCAGCCTCCCAGGGTGCAGAGGAGCAGGGACAGATAGACACACCCGCAGTCTACAGGATGGACAGGGAGGCTGGCAGATGGCTGGAGGAAGGAAGGAGGGGTGGAGGCACGCAAGGGCAGATGGAGGCACAGTTGGATGTGACAGATAGATGGAGAGCAGGGACCAATGGCCAAATGGATAAAGAGACTCCGGTGCCCAAGAGGGCAGAGACAAAGGGCCAGACAGACAGAGGGTGGACCAGATGGACCACTGACTCAAGGCATGAGGTGTAGCAGACCAGCTCTACATTGCACACGGTGACAGCGAGCCTCCTAACTCAGCAGATCTGAAGGGACCAGAGCCTCCTCCCCACCTCTCTGGAGTCACTATGTGGCCACAGAGAGCGGCTCCAACCTGACCCAAGTGTGGCCAACTTCCAAGAAGGGTCTCAGAGTCAGAGTACTCCAGCCCTTCCCCAAAGCATAGGCAAGAAAGGGGGAGGAAAGCAGGGCATTCTGAACAGAGCTCTGTGCTCCTCGGGCCTCTGCACACCTGGGGTGTCATTATGCCATGAGATGCCCGAGCTCCAGGTAAGAGGACCCTCCTACTCTAGCCCTGCCCAGGTCTGTTACTCTCTCTTTCAAAAGCAAAGCACAGGCATATGAACACACACATTGCCCGCAACATGGCTGTGGACACGCTCTCTGACCTTGAACTTCTGGACAGTCCCTCTCTGTCCTTGAGCTGAGAATGTGGACCTTTCCACTCACATATTTTCCACCTGGCCTAGGGCATGTTCTGCTCCTGACTTGAACGTCCACTGGGAGGGGGTAGGAGAGAAACTGGAAGATGAAATGGGTTCAGGGACTTCTTAGCAGGACAGGCTATCCTCAATCCAGGGTAGTGTCCTCCCCAAGAGATAGCCAAGGTGGCATAACATGTCAAAGGAAACAGGATGGGTGCTTTGTAGTCCCTGCCTCCAGCATAATCTTATAGCAACATAAGACGCCAGAAGCAGAAACATATTCTCTAAAGCCCTTCCGCAGAAATCATGGGCTCTGCTGGTTAGATACAATCTCTCCTTTAAAACACAAATATGGCATCATGTAGGCTGTTCTGCACTTTACCCTCTTCATTTGTCTAATAACAACAATCCAACGAGGAAGGTGTTACTCACCCTTCTTACATATGAGCAACAGAAAGGCTAAGTTAACCTAAAGGTCACACAGCTAGTAAATGATACATCTGGGATTTGAACACAGGTGTTCAAAGACTCTAGGGTCCAGGCTTTCAACTGCTGGAAGCTAATGTCCAGATAATAAAAATGAGCCATGACTAGTCGGTCTCCTTTCCTCTCAAGACTCTCAATCTTCCTGCCCAGAGGAAACTGCTATTAATAGGTTCCTTCCAGAAAAAAATAAAAAAATGCAAGTAGGTACCTAAAAGCACAAATCTAGATTTATAAATTGTATCTCTATCTTTTTAATAATAGAAATAAAAGCACTTAATACCTAGGGTGCCCCTTCTTCTCTTACTTAATATTCTTTGAAGATTTTTCACACCAAAACATCCACTTCCTCTTAAGGGCTGCAAAGTAATTCATTGTAAAGAAGTAATATGATTTAATCCCGTAGCCTTCAACATGAATACAGTTTAGAGACATTTTCCTTTGTAAATAATGCATTTATATATTTATGTTTCTCTTGATCAGAATGAATTTGTCTCAGGATGAGTTTGGAGAAGCAGGGTTGCTGGCTGCATTGAGACACTCGATGCATACTGCCACGCCGCTGTGCAAAGTGGGTACAGGGGTTTACGTGCAGCTGATTTATAAATAATGGTCAGCTGTGAAAGCTTATACTCACTAAGTGATGTTTATCTAATTTCTAAGGCATGGGTAAAGGAAGTGTTGCTTTCGGATGATGAAGAACCTAGTCAAACTGTCAAATTTTTTGATTCATCTGCAGGTGCTTTAACAATGCACTCGGCAAGAAAGGACCCTTTTAATTTCTTTTTCTCTGTGGTTTCTATAAAAGAAAGTGGGGACCCAGGGTAAATTCTTTTCAGAGCTTAGACATAGGAACAGTTCTATGGAAAAGCAGTTACATGTCTCCTTCTGTTCTCGCTCTGGCCTCCAGGAGGCTCAAAATTCTATCTGCTACTCAAGCAGAACATCGGGATGAACCAAGGAGGAAGCACCATTATTTTGATATTTATTCCTAATTCTATCAGAGTCACCTAACTGCATCTATGCACCTTCTCCTGGGCTGCTTGGGAAGTTGGTGGTCTAGAATCAAATCCAATACAAAGGATCTAAAGCTAATAAAAGAGGGCAGACCCCAGGGCTACATGGCCAAGGCAAGGAGGGAGCCAGAGCGGACTCTCCTCCCCTTCCTGCTCGGCATGTGTAAGACACTTAATTATTCTTATTGCTCTTCAGCATCATTAAAAGAAAACAAACCTGGAAAATTCCCTCATCTTCCCCACTTTGCAAGTGGACGGCAGGAATTCGAGTTTCCAGGTAGGAAGGGGTTTTGGAGATTCCCCTGAGCAAACCTACGACTTGACAAACGCGGAAACTGAGGCCCAGAGCAGCGAGGCCACTTACCTGAGGCCACAGCTCTAGGGAGGGAGGCGGGACTAGAAGGTGGGCGGCTTGAGGTCCAGGCCGGGGCGCTCCCCCACTGCATAACACGCCACACGGACGACTTGGGGTGGCGGGAGAGAGGAGGAGAAGGTGACCCCACAGCCCCTAGCAAGGGAAACGACAAGAAGGACTTGAGGCACTCATAAATAATTAAGCAATTAGCTGCAGCAGCGACTCCCTCCCCTCCAGCATCCAGTCACCAAGGCAACTTGGGCAGGGTGCCTGCTGGTTGCCTAGTAACCGTGTGGTCTGTTCCCCTGACATGCTCCCTAGGCATCAAAGGATTGGAGATCCAGGAAGAACCTGACCCAGGCATCACTATTCCAACACCTTTATTTCTCCAGCTGAGGAGATGGAGGCCCAGAGAAGCTGGGTAACCTGCTCAAGGTCACACAGTCACTCCGAGGCACAGTCAGCCTCCATTTCCAGGTCCTCTCCAGTACATCCGGGCCACCTTGGGGAGGCTGCACAGGGAGGAGAGGAGGAGGTCTCCCCCTAGTTCCTAGAAGAGGAGGAAGTCAGAGCCAGTGAGCAAGCAAGCCAGAGACAGAGACCTTGAGAGCTCATGTGCAATTAGCAGGAGCTGGTAATCCCATCAGCCCAACTTTCACCATCACCATGGCAACATGGGTGAGGCGGGCGCTGGTTGCCTAGTTACAAGTGGTCCTCTCTCTTCCACTCTCCTGCTCCCTGGGATGTCATAGGAACACAGAACGGTGGAGTTGGATGGGAAGGCAGGGATCCTAACTTGGTCTTCGCCTTCAAGCAACCAGGAAGCTGAGACTCAGGGACACCACGAAAGCCCCATAGCCACAGAGCTGGCTGGTAACCTTTCCTCCACTGAGATGACCTGCCGCAGCACTGCAAGAAGGGAACCTGCCCTCCATAGTCAGACAGGCATGGGAAATGCGGGAGGTCCTCCAGAGGGGACTCTACTCTTGTCTACCAGGTGGCAAGGCCACATACACAAAGTGGCACACAACGAGGTGCACAAGAACAGTGCCTACACACCCAGTCTCCACAACGGAAAACCCGAGCCAAAAGCCATTGCTTCCCAAGCCTAGCAAGATCCTTATGCTCTCTGCACCTCAGTCCCCACACCTGAGGAACGGGCAGCTGACAGTCCAGATTTCCAAAGCTGTCATTAAGATTTAAAGAGAAATGTAGCTGGGCGCGGTGGTGTGAGCCTGTAATCCCAGCAACTCAGGAGGCTGAGGCAGGAGGATGTCATGTTCAAGGCCAGCCTCAGCAACGAGGTCCTGATCAATTTGGCAAGACCCTGTCTCAAGACAAAATATAAAAAAGGGCTGAGGATATGCCTCAGTGGTTAAGTGCCCCTGGTTCAATCCCTAGTATCAGAAAAAGAGAGAAAAGATTCACCTCAAAGGTGTGGTGTGCAGTAAGGACAGAGTGAATGCTGGGTGGTCAGTAATTCCACGTCCAGTACACACTTGCACATGCCTGCTATGCAGATGCCCCAGCATGGGCTCTGGAGAGATCCACTAGTGAGCATGACTAAGACAGAGGACAGACCCCCCTGCCTGGGGCCTGACGTTGCAGGTGCGTGTGGTGATTCGGTGTCTGTTGCACGGCTGCAGGAACCCACTGGCAGTGTGTCCCGGGGCTCCTTCTCTAAGCCTGGAAGCTTCCTGTTTACAGGGTGTGATGCTATAAATACGCAGGCCTGGCTTCTCCGTGGGAACTCTGTTTTCCTTTCTGTTAAAAGCTCTCAAGAGAAAAGAAGGCAGTGGCCGCTAGGTGGCAGACACCAGGTCCCTGACAGACAGCAGTGCCAGAAGGTAGAGGCCCCAGACTTCCAGCAGAGCCAGAGCGGGTCAGCCCCAGGCTGATGGCTGGGAGGCCGGTCCGGGGACACTGGGGGTGTCAGGGCAGCCTGCAGTGTGGGTCCGCACCATTGCTTGGAGGGAGACGGATCTCAGCGTCAAACAAGCTTCTGCTGTGAGCTAGCTCTGCGACCCCAGGGAGTCATCAGCCACACTCAGTAGGGGGCCCTCCATCTGGGACACAGAGATGGCAGCGAGGGCTCTCCTTCTGCAAGCTGCACACCGACAGAGCTCCACCCCTGTTAGCTGGATCCCAAAGACCATGAAGGTGGAGTCCAGAGTCAGGAAGTAATACGGGGTAAGCGTGCTCAGGGAGGAAGCTGGCTCTACACGGTCCCTGGGCAAAGGGGCAGGGAGCCTCAGTGGCCCCACTCTTCACGGGCATCCCCCTGACAGTCTCAGGGCCCTCGTCCTCTTTGACCCGCACCCATCTTCCTTCTTCATTCCCATGGCGCCCCCAACCCTGGCCCCTCACCTGAGTTCCAGCCTGGACAGACGGCCATGACACAGTAGTGCCCAGGCACCAGATGGACCGGCCCTAGAATGTGCTACACTGGCTTCTGACAGCTCCCGGGACCTGGCTGAAGTCCTTCAAGTGCCCACAGAGTGCGGCTCCTCCTGTGCTTCTCCTTTCTATCCCCTGGACAAGCCACTCCATGCCGCTGGGGGGCTGTGGGCACCTGCACCTGCTGCTGCCTCCACTGTGCATGGGTGGCCCTTCCCCAGCCCAAGCCTCCACCCGATTCAGGCGGTGCCCTCTCCCATGCGGCCTCTCTTCCTCATCTCTGCAGCCCCTGCGCCTGGCACAGGCGGGTCACCCAGCCGGTGCCACCATCACCATCAGGAAGTGATCTGGGCAGGCAGCAGAACTTGACTGCCCGGAGGAGCCTGTGACTGCCTCCAGTTTCTCCTGTTTCTCTTCTGCCACTTTCTCCTTGCCAGGGACGGCGTGTCTGGTCAACTCCTGACATATATCTGTCCTCAAAGCCTGAGGGCTGAAATCTCCAGTCCAGCATGCAACGTCCTGCCCACGGCAACACACCTTCCAGAATGCAGCTGCAGGCACGTTTCCAAATACATTTTGGGGTGTGTGTGTGTGTGTGTGTGTGTGTGTGTGTAAAAAATACTACATATTTACGTATACTTGGAAATAGGTATGTATATGTTAAATACATGCACTTGAAAAATATATCTATGGACATAATTTGGAAATAAAGATATTTCCAAACAGATCTGCCCCACTCCTGGGAGTGTCCATCCTCAGCCTTGCCCCATCAGGAGCTCCTGGGCAGGCATGGCCCCACCGGCACCCCTCCAAGCCCCTGAGACACTCAGGGTCCTGCCCCCACGTGGTCACACACTCCACTCCCACCTCCATGTTCTTGCCCAAGAACTTTCTTCTCTTCTCTGTGCTTCTCCAAGGACCAAGGAAAGATCCGCTGCAGGACAGGCCAGAAAGGGGGCAGGAGAGACAAAGAGTCTTGGAGCCATGGCTGAGCAGGTTCCCACACGCCTGTCCCCAGGAGCCCCTCTCCCTGGCTGGGAACCCTGGGGAGTGACCATGTTCTTCTTTGCTTATGGAAGGTCCCCGTGGCGTCTGTGTTGGGTCTGCGGCCATTCTCAGACTTCTGAGTGAGCGAGGTCCTCAGGACCGCCTCCTGTTGGGCACTTAGATTGTCCCCAGGGTCCGTATCCAACATGCGCAACCCTCCGTCAACACCCTCTGCTGGTCACTGGCTTCTGATGCAGAGGTGGTCAATAATATCTGGGGACCAGCCAAGCAAACAGAGGTGTGGCAATCAGTGGGCAGGTGATGGGGGCTGGTGACGGGGCTGGCAGGTCTCAACGTGCCCTTCAGTAAGTTTTAAAAGGCAAGAAAAGATGGTCAGTAGGGAAACACTGGGATCTGAGGAAAGTCTAAAAATGCATGCCTGAGTCCACGCTGGGCAGTGATGGTCTGGAGGAATCCATCCTCTGGGTCCCTTGTCCTGGCTGCACAGTGGGTGTGTCAGGGTGCCGGCTCGGACACATGGTGAGGCCTGATGACAGTCGCACCATGTCACATGATGTTGGTTGTAGCTTTCTTTCTGCGATTCCTGTGGGGACAGCCCTGCATCTTCTCTGCCGTGGAAGTTAGAGACCAGCCTTGTAGAGTGCGTAGCATAGGCAACCGTCCCAGTTAGCCTGGCGCTGTCCTGCTTTGACCACTGGAGGCCCAGGTCCCAGTGCCAAGTCCAGGAAAACCCCTGATCCTGGGCAACCTGGAATGGCTGGTCAGCTAGGAGCAGGTCCGCAGAGCACTGCCTGCCTGGCCTCATGTCCTGAGGTCCTGGCACAGGGGGACCAGGCTGAGGTAAGACAGCAGAGCCATGGGGGGGTCCCTGGACATTTTACAGCAAGCGCTCCTACTCATTTTTCGACTTTCTCTCTTCTATGCACTAAAATTTAATATCTAAGACAATTTTGGGGAACAAAGCACCATCAAGAACATCCCTCCTTAGTACAGGTCCAGGTCCAGGGTCCAACCAACCAATACAAAGAACCCACCCAGAAGTTCACAGAAACAGAAGTCACGTTCCCGGGGCCAGGGCATCTGCAGCCTTGGCTCTGCTAATGGCCCTTCCTGGGGACAGCACAACAAACAACACAAAACTCCAGACCTCTCACCCAAATATACGTTTCCCACTTGCTTTTTTAAAGGGAAAAGTGATCATAAAAAGAGGAAATTTTAAGAAATTCACAAAAGAAAGAAATATTCATGCAGAAAACATCCACTCACTCAGAAAAATGTCGGGAAGTGATGGCATGGCCACCTGCACCGTCTGTCCCTACTGCGTGCCCAGCCTGAGTTCCCTGGGGTGCAGCTGACCTTTGCAGGCCTGGGAGAAGCTGATGAAGAAAGGCTCCTGCAGTGGGAGCCCTTCTAGAATATTACCTTCACGAAAGCCCAGATGGAAATTCCTTACATGTCGCCTGTTTCTTTAAGCTGAGTAGGTCACAACGGGAAAAGCCACTGTCAACTGATGAGCACCATCAGAAAGGAAAAGAGTTTTTAAAACGAAGCCACATTATTTGTTTGTTTTCAAACTGCATGATTTTTTTCAGAGCCCTTGTCACTGTGCAAAGTGCTACGTTAGGAAACAGGAAGACACTTTACAAGTGTTTAGGACAAAGAAACCCGTGCAGTTACAAAATCCCTGTCTTATTATCAAACATACAAACAACAATAAGTGTTGGCAAGGATGTGGGGAAAAGGCATAC